GAACTTGACTAGAATTCTCAAAATTCCTGTTTTTACAGTCTGTCTAGCCAGCTGTTTTCTTGCACAGCAAAAATGAATGTGGATGTTTTTAGACCTCATTACAAAACTTAATGCAAAAGCACCAGGGGATCACTCGTCTATCGGCAGAAACTAATGCTCTCATCTTAGTTTTTTTCTCTTGTAGTAGATTACTGCGTACACTAGTTGAGCTCTTTGATAATATATAAATTTTCTTAGCCATGTAAATTACTGTTTTATCTGCAGCCTTTTGTCCTGTACTTGTGTTCATCTCTTACACTTTTCTCTAGGTGGTGGAGATACCTGGGATGGTATGTGTACTGCTTTTTGAAAGCTCCTTAGCATCTTGTCTTGTGCATATGTTTATTCACCAACACCTAACGTCTGCTTTTTCTCTTTAACATCTGTTTGTAGCATGAGAATGTCTTTTTAATAAACTACATGTAAGGTCTGATTCTGAGTGATGCTGAGCACCTGCAAGCTTCCACTGAGAGGTTTGGATACTTGGCAGCTCTTGGGATCAGGTCCTTCATCTGTTCATGACAGTTTGCCTTCAGGCGATTGTGTATGGCTAACAGAAGACATGATCAGGAGGCTTAGGTGGAATTGAACTAAAGCACTGAACATCCAGAAATGTTAGATATTCTAGGTGGTGGTTGCTCTCTATTGCTAAAATAGGTGTTGTGTAATAAAGGACTTTTGGAGGCAACAACTGCTGCTTTTAGGTTCTGAATTCACAGTAGTGTTACAAGGGAAAATGTTGAAACATGTCATTTGCTGTAAAATAAATGATTATATTGGTTAACAAGCTGTAAAGTTTTATTTAGAAATCATAACTGTAGCTAGAAAGATAAGTTCTTATTTCCTATTTTAGCAAGTTTGTAACTGCGTGTGAAGTGAGTGCTTGATATCTCTTGAAATATTTAACAAATATCTAACTTCTAAGTTTTTTAAAGACTTGGCTAAGTCTTTTAGTAAGTCTGAACATGATATTTGAATAAGAACATTATTGTGGTTTCAGATTATTAAGACAAATGCTTAACATTTATTTAAAAGGTTTTTTCCAGCGGTCTCAATTCATACAACTGTAATCTTCTGTCTTAATAAACTGCACATACTGCAGTAGCCATGAAATTTATATTAGCAAAGTGAGTAAACTATTAATAACTATTAGTTAATCTATTCACATTATAGTAGCTTTTATCAGCTTTTTTCTTTGGTCCTCTTTCTGACCATTCCACAAAAGGTAGATGTTTTGAATAGTTTTATTTTCAGCTTGTGATACCAGGTAGCTTTAGAGTCAAGTATGTCCTTTCAACATATGTGTTGTTTTTTACATCTTCATGCTAGAAAACTTCAAAAATACTTGAATATTTTATAATTTTTGTATGTGGACTTTTTTTGAACATGAAGGTGTTAAAAAGATCCTGTGACTGACAGATCTTTGGTCCTTCCATTTGCGGAGGTATCTCAAGCTTTCTGCTGTCACTGGTTTGTTATTTTCCTCCTCCTCTGTTTTTGTGACAATACCAGCACCTGAGGCCAGTTCTTGCCTTCCTCCAGGCCCCTTTGGCAATGTTTCTGCTGAGTGCTGTCCTTGACTAAACAGAACATCTCAGCATGTTGTATATTGCTTCAGAAAGTCGCCTTGGTTTGCCAACATCATGGTCATAAGCTAAATTCTCAGTCTTTCTATTTTGGCAAGCTTAACAACTAGTAAAAGCTGTAATGTTAAATTGTTAAAACATACTGGAGATATTAGCTAAGCAGGTACTAGTGAGGTACTGATGTGTGTTTTTTTTTTGTATTCTGTTTTATCGAGGCATATGCCCATATTGGAAATAGTCAGCACAGACCACTTAACTTGGGCATTCACTGTTTTCTAGCTGATGTGGAAAAAGATGTTTGCCTGATCATTATATACCACAGAGATCTGTATAGAAAAATACTACTATGACAACAAAACTTAATTTTGCTGCAGGGCTAGTTTTCAGCTGTACAGACTGCGTCTTTCAGAACTTCCTATGTGGCAGGAAATTTAGTGTAACTGATTGTCCATTCTGTGAAACTGTCTTTTTGAGTCAATAACAGACTTCTTATGCTTCTGAAATTATTCTGCAGCTCATCAGAACAAGCTAGAAGAAATGATTAATGAGTTAGCAGTGGCCATGACAGCTGTAAAGCATGAACAAGAATACATGGAAGTTCGTGAGAGAATACATAGAGCAAGTATGTGTCTTTATTTAAGGGACTTTTTCCATCTCCCAGATGTGCTTTAAATGTTAATTTTCAAGTTCAAGGTTAGCATTTGCAATCTTTAAACTGGTTTACCTCTTGCATTATGAAGATTGCTACCCAAAATAATCTTTGCTTTATTGCTGTAAATTTCTATAATTATTTATAAATGGCATATTTGTGAGGATAACCAGTAGTAATATGATTTTCAGTGGTAGACTTCAGCAGAACTGTTGTTTCATTCTTGACCTGGCTTAACTGAGACAAAGTCTTTTGTAGACAGGAATAAAGGCCAAATATCTTTTTAAGAAAATATAACATTAAGCAATGCCCTCTGAATTGATGAATCTACAGCTAATGACTGGGGTTTTTTCTTGCTAGCTGTCTAATTTAAACTGCTGAATCTTTAAAACCAAAGATGAACCTTTAGAAAGTTGAATTTTCCCAGTTGCCTTTGAGGCCTGAAAAGATGGTCGTTACTTTGAAGAGGAAGTGGCTTCTAAAACATCTGTGCTGAGGTGGTATAGAAATTATCAGTGATCTAACTGTGAGGCTGAGGTGCGGTACTTCCAATGACACATGCTTCTAAACGTTTTAGATTTCTTTTAAATACTCTTCACTTACTTGGATTTTTTTTTCCTCTACAGTTAATGACAACACAAACAGCAGAGTGGTCCTTTGGTCATTCTTTGAAGCTCTTGTACTAGTTGCCATGACACTGGGACAAATCTACTATCTGAAGAGGTTTTTTGAAGTCCGAAGAGTTGTTTAAGAATGCTTTCCCTGATCCTGGATTTCAGTTCACTGTCTACCAAACAACTTGGTCACAAAAGAAGTCATTTAGTTTCTAAACCCTCTTTACTGAACTTTAAAACTTATTTGCTTATGTTTCTTCCTAGTTAAAATGAAATGTTTTTATATATCTTCTGTAGCAAAAGCTGTGCTAAAATCTCATCACTTAATTGGCCTAATTTTTTCACTGAAATCTGCCTAGTCTGTATGCTAAGCGAGGTCCAAGCAGGCTGCAAATGCTGTAATTCAACTGTAGTAGTAAGCAATGTTGGTGTCTTTTCTCTCTTTTTTTTCTGTTTCCATCAGTTCTTGCAGTTCTATCTAGGGAAACGGTACATGGCCCTAATGTGACTGTTGGCGTTTTTGACATCTTTAACCCTGCAGTAGATGTTATGAAATCTAAAGAATCTTTTTTTGCCTATACAAACTGCCAAGGAGAAACAATTGGGACTCTGTTCTGAAAGTGAATAGAAGACAGCTGACTACTTCCAATCTAGTATGTGTACCTAGTTACTGATTAAAACTTCTTCAGTAACTATCTTAATTATATCAACTTGTTTCCTAAGTTCTTTTTAAATTAAATACTTGATATCACAATGCATTCTCTCCTCTCATTACCAAATGTTCATCATGTGGTTTTCAGTTTTTCACGGGTTTATATCGAAGCCAATTGTGTGCAGTGTTCTGGCAAACAGTAGTGAACCCCTTGGTTTCTGCAGGTCCAAAGCTCAGAGTGTTGGCACTATCACACAGTGCTTTAGTGTTCGGAAAAACTGGATTCCTGATGCCAAAGGGTTAATGGTTCTGGGGGTTTATTACAATGCTATGCAGCCCTTATATTTAAGTGGCAGTCTCTGCCATTTTCTGGTCATAATTAGCATAAAGCTGAATACTGGTGTGTTTTCTTTTTCAGGCACATGTAGATTTTTGTTTTTGTATAAAGTTACTTTTCTTGGTATCTGATGATGGGTTTAAAAATTAAAGAAGTGTCTGGTGTGGGTGCTGAGCCAGGATTATGTTGTGACTGATGTATATTAGTTGTAATCATTTTTGGGGCGGGGTGGGGTTTTTTTCCAGGGGTAGCCTCTACAAGTAACACACAACAGTTTTGTACAATTAATTTAAAATTTGTTACAGGTTTTCATGTTCCAGGTAAAGTTTTTTCAACCTTGGGCAAACACTTGCAGCAGTTCCTCAGAAAGGTGGCAATTACACCTTATTGTGACTGTTGTGTGCCAATATTTTTGTGTAAAAAGAAGAACCACTCAAATTGAATTCAAGGATGTACATTTAAAATTGCTTGTGAATCTAAATATGACCCAGGTTCGATAAATAAACAAAATTCTTTAAGAAAAGTAAATTTGTGGTTTCTTTTTCCTTGATGCTTTTAAGAACCTACTGTTTAATGCTCGCAGTTGTTGGTTGAGTATCTTAGAGTGGCCATGAGAAGTTTGTTCACATACGGTCCTGCCTGGAGATGCAGGAGGAAACTGGAGGTAATTCTGAATCTAGAGCTCGGCTGCTGTTTCTGTCCCTGCTCTCTGGCGTCTGGTCCTATACAGGGTCTGTATAGGAGCTGCTGCAGGTCCTATGTTTTCTTACGTATTTTTTTTTTGGTCACCAAAGGTGGCGGCGGGGCGGAACGCGCGAGCGGCGGCGCCTGTTTCCGCGCGGCCGCCATGACCCCCGTGCAGGTGAGCGAGGGGCTCCCCGGGCAGCGCCGGTAGCTCGGGGCCGGCACTTGCCCTCCGTGAGATTTAGCCAACGCATCGGGTCAAATTCAGCTCTTCACATGGTATTTCTGTGCTTCTTTGTAGTCTGCCACCATTCCCCTCTTCATGAGTAATAAAGATGTTGCGGCAGAAGCGGTGAGTGTGCTTTTGCTCTACTTGGTTTCCTCCTTTTTCTCGTTTCTGGATCTGGGGAAGGGCTGACTCTTGTTTTGCTTCTCACAGGTCACAGGCAGTGGCAAGACCTTGGCGTTTGTAATTCCCATCCTAGAAATTCTTCTTAGGCGGGAAGAAAAATTAAAGAAAATGCAGGTAAGGTTAAGTTCTTCAGTTCTAAATATCCATATATGTTTTTAGAATATGTAGATGAGATTAAGGATTTAAGTAAAAGTATATATAAGGATTGTTTTACCTAAATCTTTATCATTTTCTGTAATTTTTATTTTTTTTTCTTTTGCAGGTCGGAGCTCTGATTATCACCCCAACAAGAGAACTAGCTATTCAGATTGATGAGGTGCTGTCACATTTTACAAAACACTTCCCGCAGTTTAGGTGGGTGGACTTTAGACTTGTGACAACCAACTCTTTTCTGTGATTCATAACCTAGCAAAAAAACAAAAATAACTCAAATGTTTCTGTGATTTTTCTTTATTTTAGCCAGATTCTTTTAATTGGTGGTAGGAATCCCATGGAAGATGTAGAAAAGTTTAAAGAACATGGGTAAGTTGACTTGGAATATTTTCAGCTGATGTCTGTCAGTTGTGGTTTTCTCCTAGTCCTTAGAGTTTTCAAATTAGGGCATTCTAAAATTTGATGGTGCTACTTAAGTACTTGAGTTAGTAGCAAACTGAAATTTTTGTGTTATTTGCTAAAATCCATTCAATTTGAGCACAATTTATGGTGGTTAACAATTATTACACTTTCTTAGAATCCTTAGTTTACACAATTACAAAATTTGTGTATGTTCTTATCACAAACAGTGGACACATCATTGTAGCTACCCCAGGCCGCTTGGAAGATCTCTTCAGAAGAAAAGCGGATGGGCTGGATCTAGCGAGCTGTGTGAAGTCCCTTGATGTATTAGTATTAGACGAAGCAGACAGACTGCTAGATATGGGCTTTGAAGCAAGGTAATTAACAAATTCCGGAAATGGTTCTGAAGTTTTTAATTAGCTTGTGGAAGATTCATGTGAATGAGCCCGGCCTACAACTGGCTTGTAAAATTAGTTTCGTTCCCAAGGTTAAACTTCTTCCTGAGGAAAGTGTCAGGGCATTTATGTGTTATGTGTGTTTACTTGCAGTTTAAATACCATTCTGGACTTTTTGCCCAAGCAGAGACGGACAGGGCTGTTCTCAGCGACTCAGACTCAAGAAGTGGAGAACTTGGTGAGAGCAGGTCTCCGGAATCCTGTCCGCATCTCAGTGAAGGAGAAGGGGGTAGCAGCAAGCAACACCCAGAAAACTCCAACACGCCTGGAGAACTATTACATGGTGCGAGCTTCTGTACTTCATGGTAGTCTGTCATTCCCCATCAATAACATGTTTAAATTTTGGCTAATTTTGGTGTCACTAACAGAGGACAGAGAAATCTGAAAGATACAAAGCTCTCTCAGGTTCTGTTAAAATTGGTAATAAATGGGTCCCAGTGAATGAAGGGAATGGGAAAATTATTTGTATCACATCAATTTTTTCTTTAAGAAAACCTTTTTCTCTTTTTAATCGTGTAGATATGCAAAGCAGATGAAAAATTTAATCAGCTGGTGCATTTTCTTCGGCAACACAAACAGGAAAAACATCTGGTCTTTTTCAGGTAATTCTCCTTGAATTTTGTTGTAGAAAGTGTTGCATTTTATTGCTTAAATTCCAACAATGTGTTCAATGTTGAAAATGACATAGCTAGTTCTTGGCTCAGAGTGCTTGTATTTTACAAGGTGGTTGATTTTAACAGCTGTGTTGTAGAATATGGTGTTTAAGAAGTGAGAGAAGATTGCTTTGAGTGAGGATTACAGTATACTTTAAAGAGCAGGCTATATGAATTTTATATGCATTTTTAAAATTGGGTATTGTTGACAATTACATGTTATTTTTAAAATTATGTATTTTGGATAAAAATAGGCCATAAAGTTTATTCTGGAAAGAACTCAGACTGCTTTAGTATAATTTAACAATATCGCATAAGCTTTTGCTTTTACGCCTTTTTTTTTAATTACAACAGTACGTGTGCCTGTGTGGAATACTATGGGAAGGCTTTGGAATCCTTAATTAAACAAGTGAAAATAATGTGCATTCATGGGAAGATGAAACACAAACGTAACAAGATTTTTACTGAATTTCGGAAGCTCCCAGGGTAAGAATATATGAATAGACTTCAGTTAGCTAAAAGTAGAAATAGTAAGGAGTGTATAATTGTACCTGACAATATACTTGTGCTAAAATAGTATTTTATTAGCATGTGACCAAGAATGTGGCAAGGCAATGCTCTATTTTACTTGCATAAAAGTATTCCTCATAGTTTTGCAGGATGCTCAGTTACAAGAGGCTTGTCCTGTTTTATTGCATAGGAACTGAGTTTAAGCTTTTTATATTTAAAAAGAAAGAATTACCAAGAGAGTGGAAGAGTAGCTATTTAAATAATGTGCCCAAACTTTTAACTTTCTAGGTCTTTTAATACAACATAGCATTTGTATCAGCCGTGGCGAATGCAAACGGTGAATTAAAAATAGAACTTGTAATAGGGAAGTCATTTTTCTTAATGATATGTTGGCACTTTCATAAACCAGATTACTGTTTGTAACGTTGCATAGAATTTTTCTCATGAAAGCTGTAACTAGCTTATACCACGTGTTTCTTTTCAGAACATATTTTGTTCCTCCTTGTTCAGTGTAGCTGCAGGATACACGATTGTGGGGAGTTCACTAATCTCCAGTTTAATACGAGCCTGCTTTTTCTTCTTCCTAGTGGCATTTTAGTATGTACTGATGTGATGGCCCGCGGCATAGACATTCCAGAAGTACATTGGGTTTTACAGTATGATCCACCTAGCAGTGCAAGGTACAATTCCACATGTTAAGAACCTTTATTCTGCTCTGCTCATGTTACTGTACTGTTGAAATACAAATTGGGAAGTTACTGCTGTGGGAAACACATTTAGTCTATGCCTGAAAGTTGGTCTGAATAAACACATGGTGCTTGTTCAAGGGAGGCTGGAACATGACAGTTTTCTTGCAAATGTCATGACTTTAATGTCACTTATGTGTCTTGTATGTATGTAAGTCACGGGTGTATAGGATAATTCCATTAAAATGTCTGTTGCTACTTAGAGACTCTCTGGTGTAACGGATAGTACAGAAGAGTTAATGGGAGGTGAGATGTTAGGGTGAATGAGAGCAGAGAAGACCAGAGAAGCAAGCACAGTTGTTCACAGATGATGCATTGAAAGCTCAAATGAAATGAGCCTTTCCTTGCATTTTAACTTGCTAGAGCTCACTTGACTTCCCCCTCTCAAAAGAGATGCACCTTTGCACATGCCTGAGAATTGAGAGTGGGACTATATGTCTGTTGTATCATACTTCAGTGGTTCCTATGGGTTGTTAAAATTACTAGTTTAGGTCAAAAGTACACAGCACTAGATTTGTCATTCCATAGGACATTCCCTTTCTTTCTAATACTTTCCATAGCAAACTGAGCGTCTCCCGATAACCAGCTCTATGTCATGTTTCAGTGCCTTTGTGCATCGCTGTGGGCGAACGGCACGGATTGGCAATGTAGGCAGCGCACTGGTATTTTTGCTTCCCATGGAAGAATCTTATGTTAACTTTCTCTCAATCAACCAAAAGGTTAGTAGACTTTTCTTTCTCCCCTGCAAATGAGCATGTAGCTTGATGGAGCATTAAATTAAGGCCTTGCCTTTTAGGGACTGTGCTGTGGGAGCCCTTCTGGGTGAGAACAACTGTTTGTGAGGCTTTATGGGCAGGTTCAACCAAATAAAAAATGGTGTAAGGGGAAAGGAAGGTAGCTGTACTCTGCTGTCAAAGCTCACTTAAGATTAATTAGAGAAGAATTCTTAGTTTGAAGCTTTTTAATTCAGTTTTAATCATTCGCTGAACTTTTATACTTTTGGTTTTCAGTGTCCCATGCAGGAAATGAAACCACAGAGAAATGTGTTAGATCTTCTTCCAAAACTGAAGTCTATGGCCCTGGCTGACAGAGCTGTCTTTGAGAAAGGAATGAAAGCCTTTGTGTCCTATATCCAGGCTTATGCCAAACATGAATGTAATCTGATCTTCCGAATAAAAGGTAATTCTCAGCAGGGGTTGTTAACTCTTTACTATTCTGCAGAATTTGGTTTAGCAAAAAAAAAAAAAAAAAAAAAAAATAAACAGTGTTATTGTCCAGAAGATAAAACTTTTGATTCCTGTTCTAAGAGCTACTTTCTGCAGTGTCATATGCTGACAGTATTTGACATCATCGGTTTGATGTTATCTGATTGTGACCGATTTGTGTAGCTTCTCTTTAAATAAGGTGAATATCCCATTTTACAACAAAAGGGGATGCTAAAACTTCATGTTTCTTTGTCCTGGCTGTTTCTTCTTTATTTTTGAAACACGCTGTTGGAAATCAAATTCAGAGAGAGCAATTAATTGCGAATTAAACGAGATGAACTCATCTCAAGTCATTCTAAAAGCCTGAAAAAGCCCCTGAGAAATACAGAATTCTGAAAGTCATGGATCACAGTTTGCTACAAAAGGTGCTGCTGAAACCAAAACTGGCAGTAGAAATAAATAGAAGTGACTTTGTTTTGTTACTGGTATTAAGCTTAGAAGCAAGCAATATAGTAAGACTTCTTTCTGTGATTTGCTAAATCAGGTTAACTTTTCATCTTGCAAGAAACTGACTTTATAATCTTATTTTAACAGATCTGGATTTTGCTAGTCTTGCCAAAGGTTTTGCCTTGCTGAAGATGCCAAAGATGCCTGAACTAAGAGGAAAATGTTTTTCAGACTTTATTCCAGTCACTATAAATACAGACTCCATTCCATTTAAGGATAAAAATAGGGAAAAGCAGAGACAAAAACAATTAGAACAACAAAGAAAGGAAAGACAGGAAAATGGAGGGAAGAAGAAATTCATAAAGAACAAAGCCTGGTCAAAGCAGAAAGCCAAAAGGGAAAAGAAAAAGAAAGTATCAGCTAAAAGAAAGCGTGAAGAGGTAAACTGTGTCCGTTCTATTAAACTGCATACCGTTAAAACTGCATGTGTTCAGATGGGAAAAAGCAATGGGATTTTATTTTGACAGGAGTTTTTGACTATTGACTTTCTAGGAACTCTATAGGCAAAACCTAAAAAGTTTTAAATATGTGGTTTTTTTTAAAAAAAGCTAAATCCTAAAGGGGAGTACTTGGCATTTTGATGGTAGTGAATGCTGTGAGCACAGGCATATGTTTCACTTCTCAGAGGTCCAGGAGCCTGGGATGATGGTGGAGAGGAAGGATGGTACTTGAGTTTTCAAATTTTCTTAATTTACAGCAAGTATAGCAGAATTAAAGTCTCTCACATGGCAGTATCCTGCTTGGATACTCCTGGCAAAATACATGTTGTAAATATCCTTTTGGGGTAGGAGGAAGCACAATGTCTATTGTAAGAATTCAAACTCCGTGGCTTGTAGAATTCAGCACAGGCAAAGAACAACAATAGAGCACTTTACCTTTTAACTGAAGAAAGGGATATATATAGATATATTTATATACATATTTTTAGAAGAACACACACTTCTGATTCCTTTTACTTTAAGCCCAGACTTTCCTTGGGAACATCTTATTATGTAGGAATAAAGGTTAGGAAAAGCCTACTATCCAAGTATCTAATGAACACTTTTGTTACTATCCTTTCACTCATTCTGCTGTTTACAAAGCACTTTGAAACTTTCACACAGTGTCATGTTTGCTATTTGCTTTACAGTAGTATTAACTAATTCTCAAGTCACAGTGCAAGATTATTAATGAATATCACATAGCAACAGATGACAACTAATGGAAAGACTAGTACTGATCAAATAGGAAGGGCATTCCTTGGCTACTCGGCTCCACTGTTATGCTTAACTGCTGTTTTTCTGCTGTCCACAGGGTTCTGATATTGAAGATGAAGATATGGAGGAGCTGCTGAATGACACCAGACTCTTGAAAAGATTAAAAAAGGGCAAAATTAGTGAAGAAGAATTTGAGAAGAGACTGACAGGCAGTCAAAGTAGACTCAAAGCAGAAACTGTGTCTGACTTGGAGTCCAAAGACTGACAGTCTTTTTCTGAAGAGCCTCTTTAAAATACTGCCTATTTCAATAAAACTGTATTTTTATAACAAGATAGTGATGCAGAGAACAAAACTGATCTAATTTCTTCCTAGAAAAGACCTGGCTTCCACAAATACTTATGTAGAAGTATAAACAAGCCTGCAGTTAGGAACAAACCTCAACCGCTGATCTTGCACAGCGTGTCAGGAGCAGATTTGTGATAGCAGGAGTTTGGTGGACTCTTATTTTGTTCTCTTCAGGTAGGTATCACATCTGTCCCAGATCAGTAAGTGGCGGCATACTTTGGAATGAGTTTGAAAACACCATAAGGCATTTTATTTTACAATATCAAAACATTCCTCCCATCTTTAAATAATTTATTTTAGGCCTTTAGAAGCTGTAGCAACTCCTCTTTTGACAGTGGTCCACTCTTATATAAATGTTTTGCTTTAAAATTTCACGAAAGCTGGTAGTTATATCAGTCAACTGTCTTCTCCTTACCATGGCCATGCAACTTGCAGAATCTTCCGAGTTCTTACAGTTGTGATGGTCATTGAAGAAGGTAATAATTCACCTTGTCTGGATGACTGAGTCTCTGTTACAGATAGAGTTTAATAAGTTCATCACTGACAGCTGATGGAGTCAATACACCTAGGTCTGTAAACAGTAAGGTGATTAGCGACGGTGATGTATAGTCAATCCAGGGATGCTCCTCTGTTAGATTCTGAGTTGATTTCAGAGTGTCTGCTTTGTACTAGAAGGAAAGAGAAAGCATTTGTTACCACACAAGTCCAAGCTAAAAAGCTCCTTGGGGCAAGGACAGTGCTAGCCTTGAGCAGATACTTGGTATCACTGCAGAAAGATGGTTGTTATAAAAAGAGGCATAGGCTGTTGCCATCTTGGTCTCAACTGTTATCTGCTGCATGGAGTAAAATTTGAAGTGCCAAATGGTTTGATTCAGCTGTTTCTTCCCTTTGCTGCTCCCGTGGCCCAAAAGAGTGTTTTAGGGGCTAGATGTTAGTGTTAAGACTCATTATGAGATGTTTAAATTGAGTAACTGCATATTATGTTTACTAGAGAGATACAGATAAACGAAGACATTCTCAGGAAAAAAAAATCATAGATATGAACATGTGCGTCTTAACTGGGTAATAAGTAATGAAGACATTCTCAGGAAAAAAAAATCATTCATAGATATGAACGTGTGCGTCTTAACTAGGTAATAAGTAACTGGAATTTATCTTACCTTAAACTTATCTGGGACATCTTGCTGATTTAGAGGGAAAAGTCTTACAAACTTGAAACTTTCTGCTACAACATAAAAGGGCTTGTTCTGAGCTTTGGCACAAACAGCAATTTGATTAGTGCCGATCTGTAGAGAGAGATGAACATGCAGACTCAGTGGTAGTGTGACAAAATGTTGACATGTCATTTCCAAAAAGAAAGTAACTTTTCTTGGATAATGTTCAAATAGAATTAAAAAAAAAGCATGCTTCAAAGAAATCAGACTCTGAAGGTTTAGAGTTTACAGAATAATGTAACAAACTTCCTACCCATTACCTTGTTAATAATTCCTCCGCTTTCAACTACACCTTCAGCTCCAACTAAGACCAGGTCCACTTTCTCCATAATGTAGCTGTTTGAGGGATGGAAAAAAAACCATGATTCATTGAACATAGCAGGAACTGGTAACACAAACAATCATTCATTTTTCTGAAGTGCTCCTAGCTACCTATGCAAATACACATGCTGTTACATATCCAGCTTTCTTCTGCTTTCCAAGCAGGAATATTAAATAACTATGTTTTCTCCAGTCCTACCTGACATTGGAAATCGTGCAAAGGCTTAGAGATGCTGAACCTAAATTGGGGTAATACTCAGCTGCAGGAATTTGCTGAGTATCTTGATAAAAATACTAACTGCACATCAAAACTTAAAACTGTGTTGTAATACCCCTTGGTCAGAAACTTCTCCACCTCTTTTCACGTCCCTCTGACCGGTTTTGTTCATTGAAGCTACAGATCTAGAAAACAAACTACAAAGTAAATGTTCTGAAGAAGAGAGATTTATTGTATTACACAACACTTGCAGGCTACTGCATTCGCTGGATTACTGCCTTGTTAAGCAGACTGACATGTATTTTGCACTAATGTTAAGAACTACGATTTGGATTTATGGTAGTTCTTTCTCATACTTTTTATTGACTACTAGGCAGTAGTAATTCAGCAATTAAAAAACAAGTGTTTATTGCAAATTAGAAAAAATGCAGCCTTTTCGTGTAGCACCATAGGTTTTTTTCCATGCAACTCCAAATTCCATGCTCAGGCCTGACTTCCTTCTAATATACAATTATTCCAGAGGTATACATACATTTTTAAGCAGGTATGTTCTCCTAATTGTGTTCCAAAAGGTCTAACTTGTTTAGCGTGTTTGGTGACTATTACAGAAATGAGTAACAATCTCTGTGCTTTGAACAAGCTTCTAGGAAGCTCATCTGTAATACTGTCAAAGTCAAATTGTGATGAGGAATGTTAGAATATAATGGTCAGACTTACCCAACTGCAGCATCTAGAATCACAGTCACGGGAATGTTCAGCTTCCTCAGGGCTTGTGCCATTTTTTGTCTATGAAAATAGCATGTTTGAGGCTTAAAAGCCTGTCTTTAAAGACAATGCTAGAAAAATATTGTCTGAAGGACATGAGACCATGGCTGCCCACGTTCCCTTGCCACTACTTTTGGTTTTTGATGCTCCCCCTAAGGGTAAATAAATTCTTATGTAGAAATGGAAATGAATGATAATTGCTGCTATTGTATATTTGCTTGTCTGGAATTATGTGACATTTCTAATGATACAGTCACACATTAGGAGCATGCAAACAAGCTTAGCAGATTTCCTTAAGATATGATAGATTTGATGCTGGATGACACAAAGCACAGAATTGACGTGTACTTGCCCTGCTTGATCTGGCTGTGATTCGGTAACATAAATGCTGAATCGCTTCTTTGACTCAACAGCTGCTTCTAACACTCTGAGGACCACCCGTGAGTAGGCATGTGTCAAAATTCGCTGTCAAAAATAACAGATGTTACTTTTTTTTTCTTGAGCTTTGCAGAATCTATGTTATCGCGGTGTCATGGGTTTTACTTCACACAACTGTATATCGATTTTAAATAATACTGTACATCATTTGTGTTATACAGATTATGGGAGGGCAAATTACTCTGAGCTGGACTTTTATGTTGCAGGTTTTTACACTGCCCTGATGCTGGCAAGGGGTGGGAACGTAATTTGCAATGGAAATTTCACATGACACATCAACTGCTCCTAGAAGCAGGCTCCCAGTTAGTGCTGGTTTGCCTACAAATGGATGTAGAGAGAAGAGTTTTAAGAAAACAAAGCGTTGGGCGAGGTGATGCCTGTGCATTTGCGAAAGCCACCCTGAGACACCGCTGTCATAAATGGATGCTAATAAATGTCATTCCCCTCCAGTTTGTCCAGGGGTGCCAGCCCCTCGGCTACTTACAGCGCCGTCCCTGATGAAGGGATGGCAGAGCTTGGCGATCTTGTTCCGCGACAGCGAGACCTTCCTCAGGAAGATCTCCCCGCGCTCGATCATGATTTCCTTGCACTTGGAGTAGTCCTGGAAAAGGGGAGTGAAGCTGAGGGTGAGGCTGAGGTGCGGACAGCCGGCCAGGCACGCGGGTGATGGCAGGGCCACCCTTACCGAGTACTCCAGCGAGGTGAGGCTGATGAAGCGCAGGAAGAGCTCCCCGCCGGACGACACGGCCACCGAGGAGTCCACGCGGGACAGCGTGTCGATGGCGCTCCGCAGGCTCTTCCGCAGGCCCTGGATGGTCTCGCCTACAGGGCGAGGGGGAGAAGAGGCAACGGCTCAGGGCCTCCAGCGCCCGGGGCCTCGCCGGGGCCGGGCGAGCGCGGGGGGCGGCGCCCACCTCGGTCCTGCTTGAGGAAGCCGAGCAGCACGCGGATGGCGGCCACGGCCGACGCCACGTCGGGGTCGTCCCTCAGCTGCGCGCGGAAGGCCTCGATGAGCGCTGCAAGGCAAGGGCGGCGGCG